TTAAGGCCTAATGGACAACTCTTCTGTTAATGACTGATGTGATAAGAGAGCAGATTACCAAAGAAAAATAGAACATATTTAGAGCAGTGGCTAAATATGTCTTTATTATCTTGTAGCCGCCAGTGCATAGCTCTTTGAGGGGAGCATGAGAACCATCTTGAAATGCTTTCTTGCAATGATGATGATGTTTGTCAATCGTGATGATGTTCTCAAGCAACACTTCAATTGACCAAGGATGCAGCTTACTTGTCATCACAGGTAAAACATAAGGTGGTCCAAATCATTGAGAAAAACATCATTCAAGCTGTTGTTGCAGATAAAATACACAGATATTTACTGTAGTGGTGGAGAAAAAAGCTACTTCGAACAATGTCGAACAAATTACTTTGTTCATTAGGCTTATTGAGCAAAATCTGAATATAAGAGCGGAACTCCTGGAACTTTGTGCCCTCCAAAGAATTGCAGGATTTCACATTACCAATGCAATTAAAATAGTGCTGACAAATATTGGTACTTGAACTGTAGGGGATAAAAATATGCTGGATCGACCAACATGAGCAGTGAGAGAGTTAGCATGCAATTACAAATTCGGCTGTGTACATACACAGTTAATGGACATTGCTTGAATCTGGTAATCACCAAGTTCTTTATATTCTGTCATGGTATGTAATAAAGTAGACAAGTTAAGGACAATTATGAAGCTACTTGAATAAATCCAAAGAGAGAGAGAAAAGTTTCTGATAACTATCGTGGGCAACCAAATCACGTATATATGTGGCAAAAACATCAAAAAACAAACACTGATTGATACGTCACGTACATAATAGGCAGTAGGAATGATTCACAACGTCCGTTTCTTACATCCTGTGTCCATATAAATAAAATACTGAAAGTAATTGTCCTTGGACTCCACAAAGATGCCATTTTTTGTGGGATCCCGCTACAAAGGATAACAATGGGCTTTTTTCAGGCATAACCAGCTATGAATTCATCATTGTATTTATTACTGTTTATTAAATACTGCCACACCTAGCAGATATCACTGTCAAACTGCAGACCAGAGTTATTGACACAATTGAAGTTTACTGCATGATTGATGAGATGTAAGAAGTGTACCAACAATTGAAAGGATGTCTTGATATAAGATTTCTACAAAATACTCCAGTCTGTTGAATTTAGTAACTATCATTGTTTATATCTGAAACGTTGATTGGAAGAAGTTGTTGAGATTTGTAAAAATAATTTTTTTCTCATAGGCTGTTAGAACAGGAACTGATAAATGTCGTCTAATGCTCGTACCACCTCATGTGCTTCAGCCATCAAACAATATGATGCAGCAATTTACCCAAACATCTTTAAACTTGTGAAGACTGCATGAACTTTATACATGTTTTTTTTTCCATTTCGCAATTTTATCTGATGTTACGAGTCTGAAAACATTTTGTGTCATCCCTATGGATAGAAAACTTCAAAAACTCGTCAAAATCTTTGAAACTACAGATATTAAATCCCACAAATTTCGGAAACTTTGCGAAATTTTCTTTAGATATCGGAACTATAGAATTATATCCCAAAATATCTGTACCTTAGCCCTAACTAAACTGAATATTAGACAATGCAAAGAACTGTACAGAGAATGGAAGAAGTCGTACTTGTAAAATATTACGGTTTTGTAGAAAACACATTTCAATAACTATATAAGGAAGTCCAAGAAAAATATAAGCAGTTTACACTATTTGTTTCTGATTATATATATATTTTGTAATACTGATGTAATTTTCAAACTTTTTGTTAACTGTCAAACTTGTACGATGGAAGAATATAATGGATCAGTTATTTGTTGAAGAAGCTGATCTACATACAACTCTGCCAGGTTTTTATCAGCAATTTTGAAATCTCTGACACAAAATTCTGAGTTCTTCAGTCATCAAACAATATGATGCATCAATCTATTCAAACATATCTAAACTTGTGAAGACTGCATGCACTCTATCTGTGTCCTTGTGTAAACTGCCACCTCAGTGAGACTCAACATTTTCACGCGTGTTTATAGGATTGAAATATGTCTGTCAGCATTGGCTTTGATTCCTGTCCCTCACGGTTTCTTTATGTATCTTGATGAATTTGTAGCCTTGAGTTTACATCTGAAAGCCTAGATGGGATGCATACAGCTCCATAATGAAGACTACCAAGGTATTTTCTTTGTTTAAACCATTAAAAGTAAATGTTCTGACGAAGGAAATGTACTCATTTGTTTTATTCTTCAGAAAATTCTACCATTTGATGTCATATTTTCAAATAACTTTTCGCAACAAGTGCTTTAGTCTTTGGTGTAACCATACTTGGATTCCTACTTAATGAAAAGACACCCCACCGATTAAATCCCGGCTATGGGATTGCATACTCTCTGACTTCTAACGTAAGGAGTCATTTTAAACTCATCAAAATATTTTAATATAATAAAAAATGTGATAATAAAAAGAGTTTCTCAATTGATATATAATGCACGGTACTTAATAATTATTCCATTGTTTTGTTGTTCACGTATAAAACACAATATTGAAAAAATTGTATAACACTTATTTATTACAACTTATAAAATATACGAACTGACACACAGTATCTTAGGGCTAGTGTACACAAACACTCACCAGTTAAGATTATGTGATGATAGTAGAAATATTCTATTCATGAGATTCACCATGACTTCACTATATACGTATTCAACGTGGCAACAAACCAATAGGCATCAGCTTTGAAGTTTGAAACAGCTAACTTTCCATGAACATGGGGCTTTGAAAGTGTTGTATGTGCAAACTTTATATCGTATTTAAAAATGTTCATCATCAATTTCACTGGAACCTTGTTCAGTGACAAGAGCCACTTTGCTCAGCTGTAAACTAACGCATGAACGTGGCTTTAGAAGCAGGCAGGTGATCAATTTAACAATGTTAGTGTTTAACTAAATGGAAGGACTGGGATGGGGTGTTATGGTATAGGTTATATTATGTTCATTGGGAATGAGTTATATCTGCTAAGTGAATGCACTTAAGGGATATTATGAGAACTTTTTAGGTGACATGGCGATGTTGTTTTAATTAGTAGGCCAAGAACCTGGATATAAATCTGTAATTATTCTGGTCACTAACCTAGGGCAGCCATCACTATAGCATCTGAAGAGGGGCATGGCATGGCCTTGTTGTTAGGATGCTCTACACGCCATTTGAGGATTACAGGATCGAAATCCGTCACCAACCATGCTCATCCTTTCAGTCGTGGAGGAATTGTAATGTGACGATTAATCACACTATTTATTAGTAAAGAGTAGCCCAGAAGTGACGGCTAGAGCAAATAGTCCTCGATTAGCTTTGTGCGAAATCTAACAAAAGCAAACACAACAAAATATGCGCCCAAAGAACTGAAGAAGCAAAAAAACTTCACGCTCCTGTAAACTTAATTGTGATATGAACATGCAATTATACATCGCTTGCATTGAGATAGACATGGTTTGGTTAAATGACATGAAAGAAACTGTTGTGATTAAGGATGTAGATAGACATGGTTTGGTTAAATAATATGAAAGAAACGGTTGTGATTAAGGATGTAGATAGACATGGTTTGGTTAAATAATATGAAAGAATTGAGATAGACATGGTTTGGTTAAATGACATGAAAGAAACTGTTGTGATTAAGGATGTAGATAGACATGGTTTAGTTAAATAATATGAAAGAAACTGTTGTGATTAAGGATGTAGATAGACATGGTTTGGTTAAATAATATGAAATAAACTGTTGTGATTAAGGATGTAGATAGACATGGTTTGGTGAAATTATATGGTTAAGGATGCAGATAGACAACTTCGGTCGGGGCCGGGTGTCAACCGAGCACGGGTTATCCTCTTGCCCCTCCCCAAAATACAACATACACAGAAATTAGTAACAAAAACAAAACTGACATTTATTACATTTAACCGAATAATCACCAACAGAACATTCAAGTTTCACTTTCAACTTTCAATGCCTAGACCCAGCTTCTCAAACCCTAACCCCTAATGTTTCCAAAACACCTACTTTCTCCAGTAATCCACTTCTCAAGCCATGCCCGTTAGTAACTTCTACTGTTCTCTGAATTCCCGACTTTCAGCGTGCGGCCAGTCTTTGTTGCCCAGAATACGTTTTTTTTTTATTTTTTTTAAGTAAACCAATTATTGACTGTAACTTTCAGTACCGCCTAAGTTGCCACAAAGATTAGAGCTTAAATACCATTTGCAATTACCCGGATTCAGCTGTTTTCAACTTCGACACTCGGACGGAACCGAGTATTACCGGATAGTTCAATAAACGGCCGGGGCCGTATTTTTGGCCCGGTACCCATGCATCCCTAGTTATAATAAAAGCATTCAAATATTCAATCACTTTGTTAAAACTAATGTACGTAGAAACTCTTTAGTTTTTGACAGAAGTTCCCGATATAACACGTTATGCTACACATTTATGCTTTAAATAATTAAAAGAAACATAAATTAAAACACTGAAGCTTCGGACGAAAACTGCCATAAGCCACACGTTCAGAGTTTGAGTACGATGCTCAAAATATATAAGGTGGAGGAACATATACAAACCTTGCAAACCACAAAACAAACAACGTTTGTTTGAATTTCGCGCAAAGCTACACGAGGGCTATCTGCACTAGCCGTCCATAATTTACTAGTGTAAGACTAGAGAGAATGCAGCTAGTCATCATCACCCACCGCCAACTCTTTGGCTACTCTTTTACCAACGAATAGTTGGATTGACCGTCACATTATAACGCCCCCACGGCTGAAAGGGCGAGCATGATTTGGTGTGATGGGGATTCGAACCCACGACCCTCAGATTGCGAGTCGAGCGCCCTAGCCACCTGGCCATGCCGGGTGCCCCCCAAAAAAACAAAACAACAAAAACACGCCAATTTTAACAGTAAGTTGAGGGAGGTAGGAGAAACTTAAAAGTCACCTTACCTACACTAGGGTATCCGTAAACAAAGACACATCCATCAAGTCCTGTAACAACTCCTTCAAGAACACCTGATAATGAGCTGGAACAAATATCTGCCTGTAATATATCCATGTATGATGTAAATTTTAAAATGTTATCAAAAATGGGTTAAAGTTTATTTTAGAAATAAGCTCTACTAAAATATTAGTAGCACATGTCTAATTTTACGTTAAGGAGAAATACACAATACTCATATCGGTTTCACCTTTGTTTAGAAAACCCAAAATATATTTTAAGCTAGTAATATTAATATGATTTTACAAAACAGCTTTTAAATGTTTAGCATTACATATTATAATAATACTGCTAGTAAATATTATACATTTTATTTTAGATAAAACTAAACTTTTAAAATGTGACTAACAGTATTTATATCATTTTATATTTAAAAAAGTGACATTTAGGATACCAATAACATAGTATTGAATTTAGTTTAGATAGAAAAGTTAATTTGAATAGAATCTTTTGATATATTAGTTTTTGTTTGTTTGAAGTTAGGCACAAAGCTACATAATGGGTTATTTGTGCTCTAGCGGTTTCTAGCGTTGTAAGTCCGCAGACATACCGCTGTGCCAAGTTATAGTACTTTCAACATGAAAAGCTTCTTTTGGGATACATGACTCAAACTGCTAAAAACAAAACATTAACAACAGCAACAAAACACACACACACACACACACAAAACAAGGTTCTGGTCTACTCTTGAATTTCTGACCAGAGAGAAGAAAATCAGTCAACAGCACCTGCCGTCTGCACGGCTAATCTTAACCAAATATAGTGATTGATCACGAGTTTTGTAAGGCATTTCAGATAGAATTTTTGTTGTCATAGTTACAGCCCAGCAAATGAGTTCTGGTATTAAACAAAGATAATGAAGATGGATCTGAAATTATATAATATTCCATATATTTCATGTGAAGTTCGTAATGATTTAGTTAATTAAAATGTGAAGAAAACAACAGTAAATTGAACGCGATTTTAATCTAATTATTTAATTACGTTCAAAACACCAACCTACTGAAAACAAATTGTTTTACAAATTGAATTACAATGTTCATTTTCCCCTTTATATTTTACTCATTATGATGGATAAAATTATTACCAAGTGAACTTTATCAAGGTTTTATTAGTTTTTTCATTTCGCAATTTTATCTCATGTTATGAGTCTGAAAACATTTTGTGTCATCCCTATGGACAGCAAACTTTAAAAACTCGCCAAAATCATTGAAACTACAGATATCAAATAACACAAGTTTTGGAAACTTTGCAAAATATTCTTTACATGTCGGAACTATAGAATTATATCTCAAAATATCTCTACCTTAGCCCTAACTAAACTGAATATTAGACAATATTAGACAATGCAAAGAACTGTACAGAGAATGGAAGACGTCATACTTGTAAAATATTACGGTTTTGTAGAAAACACATTTCAATAACTATATAAGGAAGTCCAAGAAAAACATAAGCAGTTTACACTATTTGTTGCTGATTATATATTTTTTGTAATACTGATGTAATTTTCAAACTTTTTGTTAACTGTCAAACTTGTACGATGGAAGAATATAATGGATCAGTTATTTGTTGAAGAAGCTGATATACATACAACTCTGCCAGGTTTTTATCAGCAATTTTTAAATCTCGGACATAAAATTCTGAGTACATCATCAAATTTCTGAATAACTTGGCGATATTATTAATATTATTGAGAATAATGATTGTGATGCTCAGAGCTTAGATATAACATCGCTTCACAAGAATCCATATCACCGATACTATTAGGATTATAGAAAAGTTAAATCTGGATACCTTCCTAGTTAGTATGATATAAAACACCAAAACTCTGGATTTGTCTATAATAGGTTGCCAAGAAATTAATATCGCGTTTTGGAACACTTTCATTAACCCCCCCCCCAAAAAAACGTTTAACTATTATACGTAATGTACGGATGGTTTTTGTGCTAGACAATAGTTTTGATTGTGAATAGGAACAAATGATTTTTAGATGATCCGTTTGAAGCTGGATTTTGTCAGTGGGCCCAATGATATCATTAAGGGCTCTACTTAAGAGCATTGGATTGACCTTCGCAATATTGACGTCCGGCGATGTTACAAAAACTATTTGTTTTTTATCTGGAGTCGACTTTTTGTGTCCGATGGAATAGGCACTTGATCCTGAATCGGATCTCACTCGTTTACCGGCACAATCTCTATCAAATTCCATGTAGCTAACTGGGCTAGAAGTGGCCGACCCATTCACCCATCTTCGAGGGTCGTCCGCGTCCTTCCCTCCTCTCTCAGTATGACTGCTAGCCCGTTCACTTTTTCGTGGCATTGTTCACTACCAATCTCGCCCACACTCCACTCCACTCCACTCCACTCCACTCCACTCCACTCCACTCCACTCCACTCCACTCCACTCCGGTGGATATAAAATATGATCCCAGATTCAAGATGTACCCCCTCCTTCTGTTAGGGGTATCCTTCATGGA